CCTCTCTCCAAAGGCAGTGGCCCAGGTCTCTTCTTCTGTTCTTCCTAACTAAACTGTGCCTATGACTAACTCCACAACTGGGATTCTTTCAGCTTAGGCTGGGTTGTCACCGTTTGCTCATACCCCCACCCCAGCTCTTCCCTATTTGAGCCCTGGGGGGACTGAACCCTGTGGACTACATCTCCCAGAATCCTTTGTAACTGGCTTCCCATAGGGTTTAGCCAATGGAAGGCACGGGAAGAGTTTAGAGGCTGGGAGGAAAGATAAGTTGGGGTATTTCTTTCAGCTACTCCCTACCCTCTCTTCCGTTTGGTGTTGTCTCTGGCTTTAGGTGAGGCTCTCGTAGTTTGTTTTCACTGGGCCACAGTTACACTGTTCCTTCTCCCCCTCCCCTTAGCCTTAAAGGGGTTAATGACTTCCCACTAATAAATACTTCATCACCCTGTGTGTTCCCATAACCCTGCCCACACTCCTGTAATAGACTCTGAGCCTATTCTGTTTCCTGTTGTGACCATACTGATGCAATAGTCTTCTGGTTTTTATTCCAGAGTTTGACTCACCAAGCTTTTAAAATTATATGATTTTCCCACCAAGATTAGAATGGATGCTTTGCTTTTAATATTATGCCTACTAGGAGTTCTAGAACAGCTCTAGATAGGTTAAATTCCTTGATAAATCCATGAGCCACAGGAAGAGAAGGCACTCTCTCAGAGACAGGATAAAAAGGTCCCCAGAGAATAGCGAGAAGTTTCTCCCATGACTGATGGGACTCCTGGCTCTCACTCCTTGATGAAAAGAAGTGTGAGAGATCCAGGCCCTGGAAGGAGAGAGGGAGGCAGAATGATCCCAGATCTGCTTATTTTTAACAGAAAAAAAACAACAACACAAAACCCTGAAAGAATCCATGTGCCGGCCACCGGAAATGAACAAATGTTTACTTTAAAAAAATGTACTTCAGATCTTTATTAAAAGAAATAAAACATTAGAGTTAACATACCCCATGTCCTCACACCAGACCTGTTCTCCTCCCTCTGTTCCCAAAGTGACCACTATGATGAATTCCACATGTCCCCAGTCCTTGTCTTTACCTTTGAGTATACATTCCTGTATTAATAAACAATATGTAACATTGTTCCATGTTTTTAAACTTGGGTGAAAACCAGTATCACCCCCCCCCCCCCCATAATATTTGCCAACCTGCTTTTATACCTCAACATTGTCTGTCTAGCTTTAGCTCTATGGCTACATGTAGCTTGGATTCATGCATTCTGGTTGCTGTATAGTTTTCTATTATATGGATACTAGAGGCCCGATACATGAAATTCGTGCAAGAATAGGCCTTCCTCCCCCAGGCTGCCGGCACCAGCTTCCCCCCCCCCCATATAATATTTGCCAACCTGCTTTTATACCTCAACATTGTCTGTCTAGCTTTAGCTCTATGGCTACATGTAGCTTGGATTCATGCATTCTGGTTGCTGTATAGTTTTCTATTATATGGATACTAGAGGCCCGATACATGAAATTCGTGCAAGAATAGGCCTTCCTCCCCCAGGCTGCCGGCACCAGCTTCCCTCTGGCCCCCGGGACCCGGGCTTCCCTCACAGCCCCGGCTTCGTCTGGAAGGTCGTCCAGTCTAATTAGCATATTATGCTTTTATTATTATAGATGGACTCCCCATCTCCAATATCTCCCTTTTCAATATTGTTCTGCACCCATCTACTAGACCTATCTTTAAAAGAATCAGTATTATCACCCAATTCATTGGGTGCCTACTGTATGCTAGGCTGTATGCTAACTACCCATACATTAGTCATTTGTTCCTCACGGCTCTAAGAGGACACTGGGGCTCAGAAATGGAGTAACTGGCTCGTGTGTCACAGCCAGGAAGAGACAAGGCTGGGGCTAGCACCAGGTCTGTTTGCTCCCGGTGTGTTCCCAGTGCTCTATGTCCATGGTCTGGCCTCCAGGACCTCCACAATCTGGTCCCCGTCTGATCTTAGGATGCTCCCGTCTGTGAAATGGGGGCGTTAGCCCTTCTTTGCAGGACTGCCAGAGCATTGTGTGAGATTATAAATGTGAACGCCCTTGGCACAGTGCCTAACACATAATAGGTCCTCAATAAACACCAGCTACATTTGAATAAAAAGTATGCAACGGTTGTCAAAGGTTAAAAAAACAAATGAACGTTTATCCCAGCCCTCTTGTCCCTGCTTTTGCATCCCAGTGGGAGTCAGGCAAGAGGGAGTGGGAGCGCGTAAGTAGGGGTAGCAATCATCTTTGGAGAGCTCCCCTTTCCACTCGGCTTCCTCTGGTTAGGGGCTCCCAGGAGCAGCAGGAAGACTGACCAGGGGAAGCTGACAAGGGCAGGAAACCGCCAGAAATCTTACTTTACTCCGGCGGAGCCTCGGGGCTAAGGGTCCATAGCTGTTTTGGAGCTCTGGTCTTGCACAGCGAGCCTATCTGTTGAATGACCATCATGACCCAGGTTTCTCATCTGCAGGTACCCGGAGCCAAAGGGGAGCGTCTTCCTTCCTCTCCCGGCTGCCTGGGCTTGGACCACAGCCAGCCATCCCTTTGGTGATTACCATGGCAACAAAGCAACTCTAGGCCTCCCTCAGAGGAAGCAGGTGAAACAAGACAGCCTTTCCGGCCAGCTCTCTGGCTAATGGGAACCACATTGAGGAAGGACGCGGACTGGCTTGGAAAGCCCAGTGCTAGCAAGCGGCTCCCTTTAATGCTGGGGGATTATGGTCACTTGCAATTTTCTTGCTAATTGAAGTTTTTGTAGGAAAAGCAAACACATATATACACATGCATGTCTTTCCACGCTGCCTCTATTTCAGGGGCGGTGGGCGGGCCACTCGGTTGCCGGCTTTCTTTGATGCCACCGCTGCTCACATCTGCACTGTGTCACCCCCAGCCCCGCCGCGGCCCGGGACACGCTGCAGGTGTCAGAACAACAGGAGAGCAGCGGTGGGAAGACGGTGCCTCTCCCCCTGTTTAACTGGGAAATCCTGCCTGAGTCTTACAAGCAGCAATCTGCTGGGCCCTGAAAGAGTTGAAAGCTACACCAAGTGACTCCGAGAGAAACCCCAAAGGGGCCTTCCGTGGCCGGCGAGGGGTGTGGAGGCAGGCGCGCGCTGCCACCGGGTTCCTCTGAACATGACTGGTTTGGGAAGGGCGAGCGTTTTCCCTTAGACAGTTTCCACTATTCCCCCAAACCAAGTGGGGACCCCGGTCCCCATCATCTCTCCATGTGGTTGAGAGGAAATAGGAACACTCGACCCCTGTTTAAAATCGCAGAGATCTGGCAGCGCCCGGCTCTGTCTCCTGTTCAACGGTGTTTGGACCGCACAGCCCAGGGCCGCCCCGCTTCCAGCCTCCGCCTCCCTCCTGCGTCCCATCCAGGCTCCACCTTCAGACCCACCTGCGGGCCCAGCCCGCACACGGGTTTCCCACCTTCACTCCTGATGCCGACAACCATGAGCCCCACCTTCGCCAGAGTCACCCACCAGGTGGAGGCTGCGCCCCCCGCACCCCCCGCCTCTGCGGCCCCACACCTACCTCTCCCCGGGCTCCTGTCCCCCCGCGA